TCTAAAATAACATGTAAAGTATACAAAAATCATGGATGGAGCTTACAAAACCAAAACTAAACTAGTCTAACTTGATGCCATGATAACATGTGAACTATCTAAGCATTATCTAACATGAAAAACATGATTGAATATACTAATATTGAACAAGAGCAAAATCAATACCTTGTGATTAGAATATCAAACTGAAGAACTCTCGAAAAGCGACCAAAACATGCTTGAATGCTTCTCTCAAGCTTTGGCTAGACTTTGAATGCTTCTTCTTCAACCCTAGATCTACTTTTGGTTGCTAAATCTACTATATTAGGGTTACGGTTTTGAATTTGAGGCTAAGGCTTCAAGGTTTCACTCTTTTACTTCAACAAAATCACACAAAAGGCTTCAACTCTTGGGCTCATTCAAAGAGGAGGTAGGGGGTCATTTTACGGGCAATGGGAGCCCTGGAGGCCAAAAAGGGAGCTGCTAGGGCTTCCACATTGTTTCCTCGTGATGCCTCCCCGTCCAAAGCACAACAGAATCCAAAGGAAATATAATTCTAGACTGAATGCCTGCACGTGTGCCCGCCCAAGGGATGTACGGATGCACAAAGCATGTGTGGCCGCATGCCCTCAGCTTAGGTTAGGTGTAGTTGCATCCTGAGGTGTGAATTTTCATGCAAACATGAATAATTTCCATGCACACGTGAGGATTTCTCATGCAATATGTGGATTTTCCATGTGACGTGCAAATTGAGTCTCCCAGTGTGCTGTGTGTTGGTCAACCACTGACCCACGAGTATCCAAGTGAATTTTCTGATTTTCCAGGCTTGCTTGTTGCTTAAGTAAACCCCATTAACTTTCATTCGATGTTTTTAAGTGAAAATCGATCAATACTTTAGAAAATATTGTCAATTTAGATTCAACTGGACCTTCCTTCTAAGTGGGACCAAAGAGGTAGGTTTTGACTTAAATCGGATTCAAGAGTAAAATGGTCATTTTATGAAAAAATAACTTTTGCTTAAAACATGGTGATACAACAACTTGTAGCAACTTTATATATCTCCAAATATGGAGTTTTATCATTTCATCATCGGGAAGCGTTCAAGCGCTTAAGTTTTAATGGTTAGTCAAAATAGAGTGTTTACAACGTTACTTCTCTCTAGTTGGGTTTCTTAAATGGACCATCTTGCTAAGCCTTCGTAGGTCCACCACGGGACTCACATTGATGATCAAAACCGTTTAATATTTAAGACTCGTCGAATACTTCGTCGTTATAAAAAAAAAATTACATTTGTCGATTATCAATAGTCACTTGATCAGATCACATTTGTTTTAATAATTTATTTTTAAAATCATAGTTATTATTGACACAAATTTAATCTGATCACGTGGTTACCAATATTCGATCAATATGATTTTTTATAAAGATGAAATATTCAATAACCTCTAATTATTAACAATTCAAATTATCAATATAGATTTCGTAGTGAACCTACAAAACTTAACAATATATTTTAATTTGATTTTGGACGAAAGAGAAGCCCGATCCTAATTAATAGGTAAGACTGACATTATTCCACGTTCATGTCATCGTTGTGATTGATTTTGTTGTACATGTAAGACATCTGGCTCCTACATGGTCATCCACTATGAAACAGATGATTATTCAGTATTCTCAAAATACGGATACGTGATACTCCATAAAGTTTTGATTGGTAGAGAAGGTTAAGGACCCACGGTTTATGTTGGGGATGTGGGAACAACATAGGAGTTAAGTAATAGGTGATTGGCTTGGACTACGACCACGTAATATTCCGAAATTATTAAATACCCGAAACATATGAACCTAGAACTTAAGCATAAAATATTATAAAATAATTTGTTATCAAAATTTGTTCTAAGTGTAAGTTTTATTATATAAGAGTTAAATCTACACATTATTTTTCCCAATTTTTATGCACATCAATTTTGATTCTTTGTTTTATTAGTCATTCAAACGTATGATCGATGACCATACTTCTCTCACTTTCGAAAAAAGTTGTAACTTATTGTCAAATAGAACTTTGATACTACTTGATGAAGATGGACCACACACTTGCATACTCCTTAGTTTTTATACATTTTCATACCCTTATTACTCGTTTATTGTTAGAAGGACAGCTAGAGCTTTTTTAATGTATAAACTCCTTAAATACATATTTGTCATTCCACAAAAACTAAACACCTACGATCTCTCTTACCCTTTTCCAATGACGTCTCTAACCTCATTTGCCAACTAAAGCCACTGTTAGAATTTCGGTATTGCCACCTCCATCATTGTTCTTCACCAACCAGAGTCATTTTCATGGCCCTCAATTGATCATCTTTCGTTTTGGAAAACTTTTACATGTCTGGAATACCTTTCCTTCCACCACCTTCGGCCAACTGAAGTCACCACCACCATAGTTCATGCAACAGATGAAGAGATAGCATGTGAATATATCTCATATTTCAAAACAGTTTTCTTAAATTTTGTTCTGTAGTAAAATGAAGTAAAATTTTGCTATGCAGAGGCTTTCGAAATTTTTATTTAATCAATGGTATTTATTTTTTAAAAATTATTTCATATGCACGTTAGATATATATTTAGGTAAAAAAAACTTTCATCATCAATGGAGGCTGGAGGCTGGAATCCAGTTTTCAGAAGAAGACAGATGGGTAACCAAGATAACAGATCAGTGGCAAATGGGTTGTTCACCATCTTTGTGGATGAGCTTCCAGACTCAATGACTCCTAGGAGCCTGTTTACTCTGTTTAATAATTTTGGAGTAGTTAAGGATGCTTTCATCCCAGCAAAAAGAAGGAAAGCAATGGGATCTAGGTTTGGTTTTGTGAGATACGATTGCAAGGTTGTTGCTGAAATGGCGGTGCTGAAGACGGATGGCCTGTGGTGTGACAACAAGGCACTGAAAGTGAAGAAGGCAGAGTTCAAAAAAGGTGAGATCAAGCAACCTGCAATGGTAACCAGAGGAAACGATAGGATGATGCAGAGCCAACAGAGGGGTTTCGTGCAACAAATGATGGAAAGTGTAGCCAGAAGATCTTTTGCACAAGTAGTACACAATGGAGGTAGTGCTGGAAAGGCAAAGCTTACTGTCAAAGCATGTGAAACTGGAAATGGGTGGCTTTATGACAGTATAATAGTCAAACTTAAATCTCTTATATCATTCAATGAGTTTAAGGAGGAGGTTGCTAGAAGAGGTGCAAAGGATGTAAGAGTTAGAGCTGGGGGAGGAAGGCTAGCTGTGCTAACCTTCAGATCACAACAACATAAAAAGGAGGAACGACCAAAGATTGAAGAGTGGATGGTCCACTGGTGCGATTTTGTTACAGATTGGGAGAAAGGAAATTTCATTGCACAAGAAAGATGTGTGTGGATAACATGTGTAGGTGTTCCATTCAACTTGTGGAATGTTACTACATTCAGTGACATTGGCAAGGTATGGGGTGAGGTTGTTCAGTTAGGTGAAGATATTCTCAGTCAGAGTTCGTTTCAGAGTGGGAAGGTAAGAATAATCACCAATCGATTGGAGTTCATAAATGAGGTCATCAATGTTGAATGTAATGGAAATATTTTCCCAGTTAGAGTGTGTGAAGAACTCCCAGCAACAGTACAACCATGCCATTGCAAAAGCTTTTGCTTCGACAATGTGGGCACTGAATCTATGGGTCAAGAAGAAGTAGATCAGCTGTCAAAAAATGGGGGGAAGGTCATGGTGGAGAGAGTTTCAGGGGAAAAAGAAAAGAGTGATGAGTGGTTCTCTGCATCAGCCGTAAAAGAAACTGGGGGTGTCATGGGGACTCCGAATGTCAGTGAGGTAGGTAAGGAGGCTAACTAGGTGCATGTGGAAATTCCAAGAAATGAAATTCAAATTGTTGATGGGCCTATATGCAACCCTGAGATCATCCGAAGCACTAGTGGGCCTGAGAGTCCAAGGCCCAAGGTAAACTTAGAGGTGATTTTGAAAGTTCCTCAGGCTGGGGTATTGGCAGATGGGTCCATAACAGAACCCTCAAATCTAAGTGACTGTATAGCCCAAACTCAATTTAGGCCTCTTGATCAGCTTCCAGCAGCAGAAAAAGCGATAGAAATAGGAACAACATCAAGGAAGGGGCAGATTACAAAACCAGAGATGAGCAGTAGAAAGAAGAAAGGAGTTGACCTGACGAAGCAGACCAAGAATAAAGGAGCAATGACCAGCAACTGTTTTCGAAAAGGAGCTATTTTTAGAGCAGCAGCAGCTGCAATATCACTGTCAGTTGAGCAGAGTCTTAACTCAAGGAGAAGGAATAAGTTCCTAACTGAAGCCCAAGCTACCATGGAAGTCGGCAAAATACTAGGCTTGAATTGTGAAGGTAAAGAGTAGGAGGTGATTAGTAAATTAATTGAACTTGAGGAGAAGGACCTGGAGAGAATTGAGGGGGAGGGCATTACTCCCTAGGCTAGGTCAGGAAAAGGAGTGGGGTTTTGGGACCTGTGAACAGTTTCTGTATGATTATTCTATCCTGGAATGTTAGAGGTCTGCGACGACCTGAAAAGAGAAGAAAAATTAAAAACTTAGTTAGGGAGAGGAAGATTGATGTCTTGCTGCTGTAGGAGACAAAGAGGTGTAAAGTAGACGAAATGTTCCTTAAGTCATTATGGCCATGGGAGGAGCTAGAGAGCATGGAGGTCGGGGCTGAAAGAAGTGCTGGTGGTTTGCTGTGCTTGTGGAATCCACAAATTTTTGAACTAAAGGAGTGTTGCAGTAACAGAAATTTCTTACTTTTATCAGGTATGGGTCTTCATAATTTTAGTTGTGTGATTATTAATATTTATGCACCCAATGACGTGTTGAAAAGAAGACAGTTATGGTACTCTTTAGCCCAGCTTAAACCAGCCTTCTCAAGTCCCTGGTGTATAGGTGGAGATTTTAACGAAATAAGATTCATGAGTGAAAGAAAAGGATGCTCTAGAAGGGATGCTTTAGATGGGAAAGAGGGATGAAGGACTTCAATGAATTGATTGATAAGTTGGAACTGATTGATATACCAATGCTAGGCAGAAATTTCACTTGGTGTATTGTGATGGATGGTGATAGATGGAGTAGGATTGATAGATTCCTTCTAGATCCTAGGTGGTTGGAAAGATTAAAGTTGAAACAGTGGGGGCTACCTCGAAGCATTTCTGACCATTGCCCAATACTCCTCATGGAAAATGAGCGGGATTGGGGTCCAAAACCTTTTAGATTCATAAATGCATGGTGCTTGCATCCTAAATTCAAAGAAGCAGTAAAGAATTGTTGGGAAGGAACAAAGGTCAGTGGGTGGGCCAGTTATAAGCTATTGAAAAAGCTAGGAAATCTGCGAGTACATCTGAGAAGATGGAACTGCGAGGTGTTTGGTAACCTTGATGAGCAGCTGAAACAAGCAGAGGATGAAATTCATGAATGGGATTTAAAAGCTGAAGAAAGGATTCTCCATGATTCTGAGATTAAAAGAAGGGCAGAAGTTAGAAGTTTAGCCTGGGATTTGAGCAAGAAAAAGGAATGGCTGTGGCATCAAAAATCTAGAATGGTTTGGGCTCAAAATGGGGATAAAAATACCAGATTGTTTCATATAATGGCAAGTAAAAGGCAAAGGAAAAACTTATTGAACTCAGTTAATGAGCATGGAGTACTGCATGATCAGCTTGGGATGATTAAACAAGCTGTGGTTAGTCCATCTGCTGCAGTGCTTGGTAGATGTGCTTAGGTGTTAGCTTTGGTTGGTTGGTTCTTCTTTCTTCTTTTTTCCGTTGGTCTCTCACCAACTTTGGGGTGCTAGCAAATGATAGGGTGAGCTCTGTGGTGCCAACCTAGTTGGGATCATTTAGCCCACTGTGATGCTTTTGCACTTCTCTTTCCTTTATTGATGTTTTTTATCTTGTACCTTGTTTGTTTTTTTTCATCAATAAAGTTACTTTTTTTGCTGATAAAAAAAAAAGATATATATTTAGGTACGTTCAGAATTAATTTAATGGTTTTTAGAGTAATTTATTTATTTCTATTTATTAACTTTCGGTCTTATTTATTTGATTTGTATCTTTAAAATCTTATGGAATTTGATGTAGAAATCAAAATGTATTATGATCAATATGTTGATTAGTGATGATTGTGATGGTGGTGATGATGGTCATGGCGATTATATTTAGTGGAAGCATTTTCTTATTTTGCACAATGAAATTTGACTGTACAATTTTATAAATTTTATATAATTAATAAATGTGAATTTTGAAAAACTTTTTACATACATGTCAGACTTATATGTAAGAACATAGAATTAATTTCATTATTTTTTTGATAAATTTTAATTTTTTTTTTAGTATTAATCTTGGGTCTTGTTTATTTTGTTTTTACTATATTTAAGGGAGATTGATCAATAAATTCTAAATATTAAAATTGTGATCCAGATAGTCCCAAGATTTTTCTTATGTTTCGTTCTGTCGTATTGGATATGTAATGACAAATTTAACCTTTTTGTTGGGTGTTACATTGGAAAAAAATGGGTGTCACAGTAAGAAAGAGTACACTATGGCCTTTTTAGAACCCTAGTGGTGGAACATGCCACATCATAATTCTCTGAACTTTTGTTGGGTGTTACAGTCGGAAAAAGTGAGTGTCAGTAGAAAAAAAATACATTATAGTCTTTTTAGAACCTTTCCTTATAGTGGAACATGCCACATGTCAAATCAATTGGGTTTTGTTAGGTGTTACAATGGGAAAAAGTGGGTGTCACAGTGGAAAAAAGAAAACTATAGCCTTTTTAGAACCATTCTTTGTGGTGAAATATGCCACAGGTCACATTAGTTGGGTTTTGTTGAGTGTTATAGTGGGAAAAAGTAGGCGTCACAATGAGAAAAAGTACACTAACCTTTTTAGAACCTTTCCTTGTGGTTGAACATGATCAGCTGGGTTTTGTTGGGTGTTATAGTGAGAAACATTGGGTGTTACGGTGGAAAAAACTACACTATAGCCTTTTTAGAACCCTTCTTTTTATTACCTTTTCTTGTAGTGGAACATGCCAAATGTCACATCAGCTAGATTTTTGTTGGGTATTATAATGATAAGCCACCTAAGCCACAGTCACAGCAGAAGCTAGGAGATTTGAAGCAACAAGAGAGAGACAAAGAGTTGTATAAATATAAGAGAGATAATAATATAACTGTAAAGTAGTTAGAGGCAGTTAGAGTTTGTTATAACAAACTCTAACCATTTTGTATAAATAAGTGTAAACACAATACATTGAATGATCAAGTAAAAAATATAGTTTTTTTTTTTTTTGAAAAAACTATCTTTTTTACTTGATCATTTGCCAAGTCCACAATGTGTTTCATGTTTCGACGTTGAGGAAGTATAATCGGGACCCACTGCATGTGATTGTTTATTTCGGGATTGTAGTTAATGAAGATTTAGGCTACGAGGAGAAGCCGATGAGAATTATTGGTAGGCAAGTGAAACAGTTGAGGAATAAGTCGATACCGATGGTGAAAATTGAATGGAAGGAGCATTACGGCAAGGATGCCACATGGGAAATAGAAGAAGAGATGAAAATCCGTTATCCGGAGTTGTTTTCAGGGCAAGGTAACTTAAGTTTGGGGACCAAACTTCTTTAAGGGGGGTAGACTGTAAGGACCCTCATCCTCATCTTAGTCATGTTCATGTGCATTTGCATGATTTTGTTTTGTTAAGCTTGCATTTACAGATTTTGACTTGTTTTGCCTAAGTAAAGGTCCCTGTCTTGTTTTGTGCTTATGTCATTTGCCTGAGTATTGTTTGTATGCTTTGTTCCTTGCTTGGTGTGTTAAGCCTAAGTCATCTCAAGCTTAGGTCACACCTTTGAACCTCTTACACCTAGGACCATCTTAGAACCACTTTGGTTGACCTCCACCTTCACCCTAGCATATTGGCCGAGATGTCATCATCTGGGTCGAGGTGTGCATCACCTAGGCCGAAATGTGTATCATCTAGGCCGATATGTTATCATCTAAGCGTCCTAGATTTTTGATCCTTGCACCTAGTGATCTTGTTCCTGGACTGGTATGACCTAGACCGAGGTGTGGCGCATCTAGGCCGAGGTGTGGCACAACTAAGGGTGGGCAACGGTTTATCCGATCTGCAAAAACCGCCAAACCCACCCAATCTGCATACAAATGGGCGGTTTTACATATACAATGCGGGCAGATGCGGTTTGAAATATGGCATCTTTGCTGGTTGCGGGCGGGTTGCGGGTTTAACCCGCACCTGCAAGAAACCGCCCGCACTTTATTTTTTTTATTTTTTTATCTTAACTATTGATTTCATTTCTATATCCCACTTAGATATTTTTGTCCAAAACAAAACACCCTTTATTTTTTGAACTTACTCTAGTATTACATTTGTTAATAATATTATATCAACTGAAACTGAATAAATTCTGATCATATTATTATTGTTACATAACTAAACTTGCCCCGGATGAAGTGTGATTTGGAATTTTAAATTCCTTAATGAATATGGAGTTATAGTTTAGGATTTCGAAATATATGCTCGTGTTAGTTTCTGATTTGATTTATGATTTTGAATGATTTGTTTGTGTTACGAATTGATTTTGCTATATTTTTAATTTTATAATTTTTAATTCATTAAATATTAATGTTGGAGTATTTTAGAAAATGGGGAGAAAAGGCCCAAAATAAATATTTACAAAATGGGAAAAAAATAAGGCTCAAAAATAATTTTTTGAAGAAAAAAGTCCAATTTGCAAACCGTCCGCAACCGTCTGCAACCGCCCGCACATCCGTGACCCCTATCCGCACAGACCGCAGACCGCATTGCGGGCGATTGCGGGTTGTCTTTTCCCTAAACCGCATAGATGCGGGCGGGTCCAAACCAATCCGCAAACCCTCCAAATCTGAACCGCGAACACCCCGAGGCACAGCTAGGTCAAGTGTTGTCCTTCCTAGCCGAGATCAATGAGACCTTACTTGCCGAAGCCTATGTCATAATCCAAGATCATTACCCTGTTAGAGTGCTCATGCCACCTTGCTTGGTATACACACATTGCCATACTCTTGTCTTGTCATTTTGTCACCTTTTTGAGGAAACCCATCCAGGCGATGCCACGTGTCCCAACAGAGGGTTAAGTCAGTAAGCTATTGAGAAAACATATCATTTGCTATATATCTTTGCCCTAGAAGAGAGAGAAGCTCTAGGAAGAGGAAGAAAGAGCCCTTGAGAGAGAAGTAGATTTTCAAGCTTGATCCTTAGAGTTTGAATCCTTCGATCCGTGTTTTGAGGTTAGAATCTTGATCTTCTCTGGTTGTTCTTTGTATATATGTGATCGCATTGCATGATCTAACATGATTCATGAGCCATGCATTGATTTAAAGTTTGTTTAGAAAGAGAAAATGATGTTCTTGTGTTTTTAAAGGAAAACCATGTTTTGATTCAAAAGTTTATATCAAGTTCCACGTTTTTGTGTTTGTTTCCAAGAGATCTTCAACTACGGGTACCCAGGTCCATGTTTTTGAACTCATGCCATGAAATCTCAGATTTTGTAATAACAAGTTATGATTTTAGCTTTCATGTTCTTCATGTTCATGTTCTTTAAGTTCTTCAAGAGGAAACCCATATTTTCCAGACTTCATTTCCCTAAGTGTGGTCACCGAGACCCACTCTTGCCAAGATCTCACACCTAGGCCAAGCATCGTATCTCACCTTGGCCTACCTTGTATGATCACCTGCACTTTAGTTTATCTTGCATGTACACCTAGGCCTAGGAGACCACACCTCGGCCAAGAGGTGCGGGACCTCAGCCAAGACCTGGTTGGTACCCAGCATGTTTTTCCAAGATGAGAAATAGTGTTTTAACTCCCCAGCACATGTTTTGCTTTGTCTTGACTTAGTTTTAAAAGAAATGCTGGGATCATTTACACTCATGTTAGGCTTGTTTTAGGGATGCATTGCATAGCCATCTTTTGAGCATTCCTTCTTGTCTTCTTGAAATACAATAAGTGGACCTTGCCATGTGTTTATAGGTCTTGGATCCTTGCCTTAATCCCTACACCCGAAGAGCTATGGGAGTGGTATTTTTAATAAAGGTATGTTCTAATGTTTTGATAAAAGCTTTGCTTGTTTCGTTTTGGAAAAGTTTCTGTTCAAGTATTATCTTGTTTTGATGATATTCTTGGAAAGTCCTTAGTGCTAGGGGACTATAATGCAACTAGTACCCTTGTTTGAGATATCTCCCTTGCCACCGACGGTCTTGTATGGGTGGGTTTGTCTAATCGATTCCGGGTCGATTATTCCCTTATTTTGTCAGGAATGTCATCCCTTGTATTATATTGATGCTAGTAAGCATCCCTTGAAGCTTTGAAAGACTTGATAGATGAACTTGGTTCATCCCTTGATTTTGTACAAGATATGCTATGTATTGTTTTGATAAAGATCTTGAATATCATTCATTCAAACCTTTATTACTATTATCATTCACTGAGTATCCAAGCTCACCCTCCATTTTATATATATGTAGGTGACGAGCAAGAAGGCGGTGATGCCTAGATGTTATTTACAAGTTGTTTTGGATTCATGTTTTGCTAGCATCTTGAAGATTATGCTTCTTAGCTTTGTAATTCATTTCTTTTGTATATGTCAGCTTGAGAAACCTTTTGATCCAGATGTAACATGTACTTATTTTATTTGTATTCAAGTTGTAAACCCATATCATGATGTATA